CTGGTGAGGTATGCGACAAAAAAAAAAAAAAGACCCTAGGTGGCTTTTGCGTGTGTCAGTGTGTGCGCGCTTGGGATCCGCCAGGGAAGCTAAGCTGTTCGTTTGGCGTTGGGTGTTTGTGCGTGCTTTTTGGTTATTTGCCTTTGACTGGGACTCAGGTGGCATGTGGAGGGTGGACGTTGGTTGACTGCATCTTGAAATTTGAATTGGAAAGGATACAGGTTTTCAGCTGAAAAAGACGCTGAGGAGAAGGGCTCTTACTATTATGTATAAAGGAAATCGATTACCATTCGGTGCACATGAACTCTAAATTCACGTTGTCTTAGGGAGCGTGCAGAGTATTCCTAGCCTTTTTGAAGATGTGTATGTGGTTTTGTGTGTGTGTCTCAGAAGAAAAGAGAACTTAGCTAGCAAACGAGTGTGCAGGGGATGACTGCATATCCATTAAAAGTTCTTTTCCTCTTGGAGGCTGAAAGGTATTAAAATATTTATAATCAATGGCTGCATGTAAAAACATACAGGTGTTTAAATAAGTAATGCTATTTCTGAAATCAGTTTATGTGTGGAAATGAATCAAGTCTAGCTCAGTGAGTAAGCTCTATTTGCTTGAGTGAATAATAAAATATTAGACTATTGTAAGATAAAATATATAGCTTTATTGTATGGAGATAAACATATTCTGCAGTCCGATTTATGGCTGGTCTATCTTTCTTCCTCAGACCTGCATTGGAATGAAACAGCAGGTAGTATGGAGGGAGCACTGGCAGAGGAAGAGCATACATTTCAACAGAATAAAAGCAGTAATAGTAAAAACAACAGCCACAGCAACGCAATCCAGAAAGAAATCACACTGCCTTCAAGACTGATCTATTATATCAACAGAGACTCTGAAACCCCTTACCATATCCTGGATACTAGAGCAAGGCACCAGCAGAAACACAACAAGGTAGGATGAAAGAGGTTTATCTGCAGAATTTTGAAAATGGTAGCATGTAATGTGTAACTCTGTTAGAATGTTTTATTCTGCAGATCTCTGAGACTTAAATGTCCTTGCCATCGTTTTTAGGAATTAAAGGAGGACAAGTAATTAAATAAGAATATGGTTCCCCTTGTTTTAATTAAAAACAATTATTTTAGATTTCAGGATGGTTCAGAAGCTGAACTGTAGATAAACTGAATGGGAATTATGCAATGTTGGCTTCTCTGATCAGAGTAGGTTCTAGTATCTTAACTTATGTTATGTTATTAGCAACAAAATGCTCCTTTCAGAATAGTTCTTGACTACCCAAATTTCTGCAAAGGGTATATTTCTTTAGGATCCTTAACTTAAAGCATGAGTTACTTGGCTTTGTGTGTGTCATGCGCTACCTAGTAAATGCAGTTCTTGTTTCCTTCTGGTGTATGACCAGTGAAAACTACTGAAAAGTTCTACCAGTTTTTGTCAAATTCCACCCTCCACCCTGAACGCCTACATTTTGCAATTTTTAGTGAGAAAAAACCTTGCCTGGATTTGCATGGGAATGAATAGTTTTGTGGAATGACTAGGTAAAGTAGTAAATTTGTTCTATGCTATATTGCTTTTGAGGTACTTGGTACTTAAAATGCTGAAATAGGATAGAATAGTTTAAAGAATTTACTTCTTTCAGTAGATTATAAGATAGTATGACGGTAAAGAGGACTTATTTAGGACGAGACTGACGTGGTAGAAAAGAGAGACATTGAAGTAGATCAGTGCATGTGATTTTATTGAAATGCTTCGCTATAGTGGCGTTCCTACCTATTGAATTACATCAGATTTTTTGAAATTTTAGAAGGTGAATTTATTATGCATTGTAGAACTGTGTTTTTTTGATAATTTATTATGTAGCATTTCAGACATGGAAGTGAAATGTGGAGTTACTCTTTAACTTTTAAGAGAGAAGCTGCAGTTATGCGGTTTTGATATTTTAATGAGAAGAAAGGTTACTTCCTAGCTTATTGAACTTGAATACCAGCATGTGCCATTGGGTGCAGCCACATATGGCAGTATCTTACAAATGGCACAGAAAAGCTGTTCCTCTCTTGGAAGATGGAGCTACTTAAAAGAACACTACAGTCGGAACTAGCACTGTATCTCTTTGAAATAATGGGTGGTTTTTGTTTGCAGAGTGGTTAGAAATGTTTCTCCAGATGTTATTTAGCAAGCAATAAGCAGTGAGTGGTAAAATAACCTAAACAGCCTTCCTTCCCTCATTTCTCATGCTGACTGAACATACTCTGTTTATGCGAACTCTAGAAATATGGGAAAAATGTAAATCCTTAGAAGTTGTATTTTTTCTTCTGAAGCTATTCATAAAAATGTGTTAGTATTTCCTTTCTTCAAGTTCTTTTTTTTTTTTTTTTTGGCCTTTTAAAGTGAGACCACTCTTTTCAGTAAACTTAAAAACACTGAAGACTTTCCTTCTTTGGAGAGGGGTATGAAAGAAAGGAATGTGCAAGCTTGAAGTGGCTGCAGACCTGCCTTTGAGAACGGTGCTTCCTCCATGCTTCTACATCAGTTTTTGGGGGCTTTTGGGGGTTTTCTTTTTTTCTGGGGCGGAGGGAGAATCCACAGAAGAGAATGTTGGCTAATCTCTTTACTTACCCAGCATTCCCAGAAGAAGATTGCTTGCCATTGCCTCTCCTTCCTTTGCCCTACCTTATCTCTGCCTGTTAGGGTAAAGCTCTGCAGAAATCAATGCTGATGGAACTAGCATTGATTTCCTTGGGTATGCTTAGTGCTAAATTCTCCTTTCTACTCGCTGTGTCCCTTTTAAGCACTGCGGACTGTTGACCCTGTAGTGGTCTTGCAGAAGGTTCTTTAAGCTTGATGCTTAAAGAGAGTGTGTCGTTACGTTGATTTCATCCTTCTAGCATGAAACTTCCATTGCTTTGATCCATTTCACTGAAGGAAAGGGTTGATTATTTTCCTTGACTGGACTGATCTTGCATCTCCTGCTTCCAGACCAGCACAGAGCATGCACGATTTTTTTTTTTTCCTCCTGACTCACATCTTCTGTCTTTCTCTGCATGAAATCCTTTATTCTTTGTTTCTCTGTCTATTCCACCAATAACGTAACAGGCAATATTTTGGTTATTTTATTCTATTTAATGTTGAATGTTAAACAGATTAACATTCACCTCTGTAGAGCAATACTTGAGGAAAAAAGATGCTGAGGATGCAAAATGGAAACAACCTATAAAGAAAACAGGATGCAATGGGAATGTGAAAAGTGTGCAGGAGGGTTTTGATTTTGTTGGGGATTTCTTAGTATTTGCTTTTATCTTTTCTCAGAATTAAAAGCTGCTATAACTGCTATATTGTAATAATTCTGATTGTGAGATTTTGCTGTCTCTCATGTTGTTAATAAAAGGAAACAACCAAAATAACTTTATAGCTGGATAAAAAGAAACCTATATTTAGGACTGATTGTTTGCATGTGAAAAAAGCACAGAAAAATATAATGGCCTTATGTAATATATACGCCCTGAGCAGCTAAGGAAAAAAAATACTAGGATTTTTTTTTGTTGTTTTAACTACTCATGGAACTGTGCATCCTTTAACATGTATCTCCTTGTCAGCCTTAATGTACCATTTATAGGCACATGATTTTAAACTAGTCCCTAACTACGAATATTATCCAGTAACCCCTTTCTATGGATCTTCATTTTAGTAACTAGAGGAATATAAGCCTTATGGATAATTGTGGGCTTAGTCCTATGAATGCCTTGGAAATGCTGAGTCACTATAAGGAGAGAGAATAGTAGAGAAAATTGTGTGCAAGTGTGAAAAAAGAGATATAGCTAAAGAAATAGGTAAAATTACTTAAAATCTGTTTTTCTTTGGAAGTCTCTTTTTGAAAGTAAGGATCTGCAACCTTTGTCCTGAAATATATGTAGAAATAAAGGGCTAGACAAGAAATCGCTATACCGGAGAATCCAAGGTTTAAATAATAAATTATTTTCTTAGAACTGATTCGCTTTATCCTCATTCTGTTTTTGAATTTGTTGAAATACCATCATGATGAGAGGGTGTATGTGAGGTTGTAACAACAGTTGTTGTTACAACCTCCCTCTCTTACCTCTTGTTCTTCTAAGAAGCTTTTTTTCACTCTTGACAAAAATGAATGTTCCCCATAGTTTTGAATAAGTGAAATGGTATCTTTCCAGGTGGAGAGAATTCTAGTGAATAATATATTTTCTCATAATGCTCAAAAAATATTTTGAATATTTGGTGCTTGGAGGTCCTAACATCTGTATACCTCTGTTTCCTCATAGTTGAACTAAGGCTGACTGTTTTCTTGGAGATCTTCTGAAGTTATTTTTAGTGTGAAAAGCTTAGAAATGAGCATCTGTTTATAAAAAAAAAATACAGTAAAGAAGCTCATAAAAATCTTTAAACTTCTTAAGGAGCTCTGAGTCATCTGCATTCTGCAGCTGTGTCTTTCTAAACTCCTGCGAGTGGAGGTAGCATTTTGAATGAACCAATAGCCCCCTTATCAGCCCTGATGACTGCTTGGATTCATGTTTGCAGTCCGCATACAAATTTGTTAGGACCTAATGGGAAGACTGCATGGCACACAACTTGTCACAAAATGCTAGGAGCAAATCCTTATGGTGGCACAACGGAAAAATCTGACAGCACAAGATCGAATCTCAAGATTATAGGATGGCCAGGGAAAAACAACTCAGGGCAGCCTTACCTAATTGTGAGTGGGAGAAAAAAGCTTGAGCTGAACACTTGTGAACAAAAAGGATGCATCTGCTGGACAGTTTCTAACTTTTTTTTGATTAATAAAATCTAAATTCTCAAAGTGACAGAGAATCAGTGTTGTTTATCTGTTCATTCATAATTCTAAGCTGTTAATGTATTTTTTGGTGGGGGGGAGGAGAGGAGGGGAGTTATATTTTAAGAAAACTGTTCTGCAGATCTTAACAACTGAAATAAATGTATTGTAGTAGTAGTTCTGATTGTGAAGATATTTCTACAGTTCCAGCCCCCAGAAATCTTGTATTCATTTTGTGGCTGTTTTCCATGGAATAAACACTCCAATTGCTGCTGTTCAGCTCAGCTGTTTGTCATTTAAATAAAGAAAACATTTCTGCTAGCCTTAATGTTGTTTGTTTTCTGCTAGGTTGCCCTGTTTTAAAGGGTGAGAGACCAATAGGTCTCAAGATCTCCTACACAATTTTGTTGGGTAGCATACCAAAGCTTAGAGGGAGGGTATCCTTAAGATGAAAACAACTATATCACAGCCCTTGCAGAAGAGGTGTTACCTGTTTTGTAAAAGATGAAAGATTACAGTTAACAGTCTTTGAGGAGACCTCGTGTGAAGTCTTCGGAAAATCCAGATAAAAGTCCTATGGATTAATTATTGTTACTCTAGAATAAATGTTCATTTTTAATTCCCATATAACGAAAACTTCAAAATATTGAATGAGCTTCATGTGGCTTATGTGTAGGAATTTAATACACCGTCAGAGGATCATTGTAGTATTTCAACTTGGTTTGCACCTTTTTTTCTTCAGAGTCTTCTGCAGCAGAGCTTCAGTTTGCACTACCTGTGAACTGATGCTTTTATGTGTACTTTTTCTTTTTTTGATTCTACATTGAATTTATATTCAGGCAAAAAGCTTTTTTGAACTCCAGGTCTTCAGTAGTCTGACTAACAGGGGGGTTGAAATCAGTCTTCCTAACTTCTTTGTCTTCTGGGAGCAGACAGGCACCTTCCTTTTCCCAGCTTCTTTTCGAGCGGATCTATATCCATGTTTCCAACTGAAACATGGGTCACAATATTTTTGTAATTTTTTTTTTTTTTTAAATTTCTAGTCCTCTAGTTGTCAGTTTCGGGCAATATCCTATAGAAGACTTGAGCTCCTACAAGTTAGGCAGTTCAACACTTGCACTTGTTAGGCCTAGCATTTATG